GGTTACGCCCAAATCTTCTACTTGCTCAATCTGAGCCCCGCACTCAACTAATTTTGCCTTATCAAATATTCAGTGCTCATTTTCTGCACAAGTGAATCCAGCTGTGCTCAACTGCTCCATGTTTTAAACTCTGGTCAGATTTAACGCCAATTTCCTACACATACACATTCAACAACATGACACCAAAGGCTTAAACAAACCACTACTGTAACATACGTGCTCACCAAGTGTAGTTCATCTCGCAAAACTGTACCTCATCACAGTCATAAGTTCGTCGCAACAACCCGCATGTGAGAGTAGAGCTTTCCACGGCGCGCATGAACGGCATCTCACGGCATTGTCCCAGTGTTGTGCGTGTTCCCTTCCTCAGTCGACGCTCATCCATGTCTCTGTCGAGCAACGAACTCACGGCGCTGCCATGTGTTGTTGCTGTTACTCCCTTCCGTCAGTCGACGCTCTCCCTTGTGCTCGCGGACAACGGACTCACGAGGCTTGTCCAGACTGTTAGTAAATAACGGGCACGGGTCGGAGGAAAGCGTGTTGCGCATTACACTTTGGCAATATACGACAGCTCCTCTGACTTCATCCTTTCTTGCGCGCCTTCCTTCTCCTTCTATCCAACCCGCTGCATCAATATAGTATTAATTCTATAACATTTGAGCTCAGATCGAAACAGCCGAGAATGACCACAGTAAGAGAAGTGTATGAGTGGATATCAATATTTATTTTTACAAAAGAGTTTTTCAAACGAGTATACAAGCAAGGCTCTAAGCGCGGGAGGAAGAAGCAAGAGCAAGAACAAAAAAAATCATACCTCGCCACGTCACCTCGTCGCGCTTTTATAGCCATTCCTCACACTCTGCCCGAAAGCCAATCTTTACTTATAACAATGAAAGTCTGCCACTGGCGCCAACTGACAACATAAACACGTACAGTTGTCACCATAGAAGCATTTCTAGCGATACTCGAGTTTTTGACAATCCTGTCGGCACTATTTGTTTCATAGAGCGCAATGACTAAAACGTTTAATGAGAGAGCATGAGTTGACCCAACAACACCATTAATGTTTGTTAAGGTCTGCATCAACTATGACCTTGTGCAATCTAGCTTGGCAAATATGAAGTGAAATAAGGACAACAGTTCTTAAACGAACAATTTTCTACATTTGCTATGAAACTGTCTACGTCACGAAATTTCTAGCACCAGCCAAGTTAGAATAATTTAGCTGTATTATTTGTACAAAATAAAAATGTATGAAAATACATTAGTGATTGTTACTTTTCATGCTTATATATATACCTTCTTTTATAGCTCTCGGCTTAATTATTTTGCCGCGGTGGTATAGAATTCGACTGTAACAAAACTGTATCTACAGCAACACAGACCGCCATTAAATTCGATAACTCTTTATGTCGTCAGCGCCCAAGCGAGGAGATTCCGTGAAGCTAAACACAATGCTATAATAACAATGGCGTCGCGCAAGCATGCTCAGCTGGCACTATTGCTTCTATTAGTACCTGGCGACGTTATCCAATGGCAAATTTCACATTTTATACGTGATGCACTTAATATATTAATAATAAATGTTTATCTGAATGTTTGTATTCAGGAAATACACTGTATTGTAGTATATGTGTGCAAATACTGCAGATTGTTAGATAGGGGGACGATGGAGGGCCTAATATTTTCATTATAAATTTTACAAAATTATAGTTTTGATGTTGATAGTTGAGGGGAATTAATATAATATAGGGAGGTACCNAAATCGTAACCCTAATCACAGCATAACAGAAGCTCTAACCCTTACCCTTACTCTATCACTAACCCTTACCCTAACTCTAACACTTACCCTTCCCCTAACTCTAACACTTAACCTAACTCTAACACTAACAAAATCGTAACCCTAATCACAGCATAACAGAAGCTCTAACCCTTACCCTTACTCTATCACTAACCCTTACCCTAACTCTAACACTTACCCTTACCCTAACTGTAACACTTCACCTAACTCTAGCACTAACAAAATCGTAACCCTAATCACAGCATAACAGAAGCTCTAACCCTTACCCTTACTCTATCACTAACCCTTACCCTAACTCTAACACTTCCCCTAACTCTAACACTAACAAAATCGTAACCCTAATCACAGCATAACAGAAGCTCTAACCCTTACCCTTACTCTATCACTAACCCTTGCCCTAACTCTAACACTTACCCTAACTCTAACACTAACAAAATCGTAACCCCAATCGCAGCGTAACAGAAGCACGACAGGTGGTGCGTGCGTGTAAACTATTCATGTAGCCTGCACGCCAAGTTGGGCTGAGCAAGCGTAACATGGTTGAGTAGCCACTCTGACGTGTCTACGCTGCCACCGGTTGCACTGTTTACCCAGGGAGAGTCATTGTGCCGACTAGAAATCACACGACTATGTAACGTCGTAAATATTAGTCATCATAAGGTCCGGGAGACTATATTGAAGACGAAAAAAGACAGAACGAATAAAAGAATCAACCCTGCGGACCGCAATGGAAAAAGCCTCAAGTTACCAACTAAAGAGGAAGGGAGAGAATTACAATACGAAATGACGGAGACAAAAAAAGCTAAAACTTAAAGGGATCCTCTGAAGATGGCGTGTGACGAAAGTAACGATGACGCTCGATGTGCGGCCACGTATTGTGGATCAAAGGATAATTACGTGGCTAGCATCTCTACTTGTGTTGTAGCCCCTTGATCTGATACAGCTACTAGTGCCCCACACGCTCAGTTTATTTGCCAAACTAAATTACATAACGCCGGTGTCACGGTCTGATATTGCACCGGTCTGAAATTACCCCAGCACGTCGTGCGCATGAGTGAGTACGTGTAAAGCGCAGTAGCATTGGGCAAATGAGACTGCCGCGGTGGCAGTCAGCGTTGTACCGTAGAGTTTGGACCGTAGTGCCTGCGATAACTAATACATATACTATACTATTATAGCTCATAATAAGCAGGAGATATCAAATAATTATGTTACAATCTACTTTTAGTATTTTGAGTTGACAATGGTTGGTTTTGAACAATGTTTACGTTCAAAATAACCACACCAACAAACTACCGCGAAGATGGCACACAGCCACACACTCGTTCTGTGACTAGTCAACATTGATTGATTTTTGTTGTTGTTGACTCGTCCAGCTATATGCAAGCACCTAGAAAAACGATCTGACGAAATAGGAGAACAAAGTGCCGAGTGAACACAATTATGTCGTTTAATACCCGTGGAGTTACCGTGTTATCTAAATTTGCCGTGTTAATGGCAAATTTCGTTTGAGAAAACGGTTAGTTAAAAAATTTGTTCACTCAGTTCATTAAAATATTGCTTTTTTATAGGGTATTAACAACAACTTACAATAGTTTTTATAATGATCTGTTGTGTAAAGCCCGGCGCACATTGCCGAACATTTTGCTCAAAAACATCGTAGCAATGTTCCATGAAATGCTCGGCAATGTGCGGTGAAAAAAGTTGCCGAAGATTTGTTCTGAACAATGTTTCTGAAGATCGGAAATGTTCGATATCTCGAACATTGTTCGTCGAATGTTCGTCAATGTGCGCTGAATGTCGAACAATTCTAGGAACATTTGTAAAGTAGTAACCAATAGCAGCACGATATGTGGTCACATGATTTTTGTGCCCAGTAATGCGCCGATCACGTGACTCTTTACAACACAGCTACTAGACGGCGCCATGAGATTGTTCGCTGCAAAATGTTCGGCAATGTGCACTCAGCAATTGTCCACCTGCACATTGCCAGACAAAAACATTTGTTCGGACAAACATTTGTTCGGACAAACATTTGTTCGGGAAAATGTTCGGCAATGTGCGCCAGGCTTTATGAAACGGAACGGTTAAAAACTATAGTGCCACCACCGATTTCTAGCCATTGGCACAATGCTAAAACAGTCGAGCTGCTACTATACTGACTGCAACGTGCATTGTAGATTCTACTAGCAAAGTACCCATCCTTCGGACGGTGGGAATTCATGAATGAGTGTAATAGTGTTGTAGCTCACCTAAGGATTAAGGGCTTCTTTGTAAAGTATGTTTTTGGTCTTCGTGTGCTGTGTGTGAATGTACATCGCCCTGGGTTTGCCTACTTGTGAAAGGGCAACATAGAGCATGCCATGGAAGAAGACAGGTGTGGTCAGGCCCAAGCCTATGGTAGTGAAAGTCTATGGTAGTGATGCTCACGGGTGCGGGCATATGCTGTGAATGTAGAGATGCATGGTTTAGCTGAGAAGAAGTACTTTGAAGACGTAAAATAGAATACAAAAGTTTATTTGATAAGATTTACAGGTGATGGGCACTAAATTACAGAACTTTATGGTATACAACGTTGGTAGTGTCGTAGACAGAGTCTGATTTCCCTTGAGTTTGGTTGTGAGTAGTTTCCAGTTGAAGCTTTATCTCGGCGAAAGATTTAGCACGTAAGAAGCCAACGTAAAGTTGGCCATGAGAGAAGACGGGTTTTGGGAGGAAAATGCCCAGCTTTTGGATTTTGAGTGTAGTACCATTGCCGAGTGATTCTCGAATATTGAGATTTAGTTTTCAGTGATAGCTTGCATCGATGGACTAATCTATTTCCTGGTATTAATGTTCTTGTCCACTGGCCAGGCCGGTGAGTATTTCTGCATGTGTGTAAAGTCTATGGATTTTCTAGTGTAGTACGTTGCAGAGTCATGTCCGGAATATTTAGATTTAGTTTTCAGTGATAGTTTCTATGAGTTGTTTGTCAGCAGTTTGGATATGGTTTTCGGGGGTGAGATTTTTTGCGTACATATATATGTATCATTATATTATATATATAATATATATATATATATATATATATGTACATGTATATATATATGTATATATATATGTACATGTATATATACATATCTAGACATATGGCCATTTCAAATATAATATGTATGTAATATTTGCAGTGACATTAAATAAACAATAAACTACAATAAACTGACTGTTGTTTAAAATTTAGTGTAATTTCTCTTCTCTCGATAGGGTATACAACACAGAAAAAATTTTACAATCAATTTTCAAGCATTCTTTGGTACTATGCATTCCCTGAAATTACATAAATAAAAACACACCTTAATGATCTCTGTTGCCAGTGATAACTCGGTACTGTTCAGTGGAGAAACTAAGATTTTGTAGGTTTTCCCAAGTCCTATTATTCTTTCAATGTGCACACGCTTACTGGCTATCTTTCGGTCCTTCATTATTGATGCACCAGACATTCGATTTTTATGTTTAAAAAATGATGGGATGTTTATTGACACATTTGAAGATATAAACAAGTCCTGTATGTTAAATCCTTTGTCGACCATTATGCTGTCCCCTGGATCACACATATTTTGTAGGTCACTTCTTTCCAATATCTGTCTGTCACTAGTTGACCCACCATACGCATCTGATAGATATGTCACTAAACCACCGGGTGATGTACCAACGACAACTTTTGCAGTATTCCGGTTCTTATACGTGGAGAATGTAGCTTGTTGTAACAATGGGTCCTTGGGTTTTTTAACTGGTACTTCAGTTCCATCCAAAATAACTCGAGTAGTAGGAAATTTAGCTTTAAAATCCGACGGGGAAAAATAGTGAATACAGTCGTGATGAGGCCACCAGTTAATCTGACCCCATTGCAGTGCCATGAAGTTAATCCATGTAACAAAAATATTAGTGACTGCACTTTCACTGACATCAAATGTTCTAGACAAAGCAAAGTTAGTCATATGCTCACGAAGTTTAATCAATGTTAAAAAAAACTGATCAGGTACTGATAATGTAGGATCTACACCATGAAAATAATTCAGTCTATAGGCTGCTGGCCCAAGTGTATTTAAAACAAACAAAAATTTGTCGTAGGTTTCCAATCCAGTATAATAATGGATTCCTTTTGGGTCTGTGACAAAAAATGTGGCAGAAAATCTGCGCAGAAGCGTACATTGTGAGCCTTGGTCTTTTAAGACTGGTCCTGGCGTTTCAGTTTCCAAAAGGGAGTCATCTGCAGAGTTATCTGGTAAAGCCAAAAATTGTTTTTAAGATTAAAATTATCTTTTGTTCTGTTATTTAAATAAAATAGATATTCAAATAGAATGAACAAAATTGTTGCATGAGAACAGTGAATTAATATATTTTTGAACTTATGATAATAATGTAAGAATGAATCCTGTAATATTTAATTAAAGTTTATGGTGCTTATTATTTTATGTGAACAACCACACCAGTCAGCCGTAATACAAAAGAAAAAATTGATTTATTAAATACCTTCTTGTTCATTATCAAAAATCTCTTCAACTGGATCCAGAGGCAAAGATAAATCGGTTTCCAATGTTTCCATCATCTCCTTTTCAGATAACTCAAGAACCAGTTTTCTTTTAAAAGATCTTTCCCGTCTGGACATTTGCGATTCTGAAGGGGAATCATGCCATGGGAAAATGTGTGGGATGGCTGTACTTTTTAGGCGTTTCTGTAGTCTTACTGTGCCTAAAAAATTGAGCGACATTCTAATTAGTTATACCAAATGTGGAACAAAGTGAGGAAAAAAATGTAGGTTCGATTCCATTAATTTATTAATTATTTCCATAATATTTATTACAATTATTTATTAATTTATAGGCCTAACAGATAATTAAAACGTCAGTGATTTTGATAGCTAGCTGCTAGGAGTGTATCTCTGACTAATCAAAAAATACTAAACACATAACATGTTTCAAAAACATACCTGAGGTGGTATTACCCATGTAATCATCATCGTCAAAATGTTGCTTACACACAACAGCATGTTTCGATGGTGACCAGTTCTTTTCGCCTCTCCGCACTGCTTTCTTCCAAGCTATATATCTGGTCTGATTAGATTTCGGAAATGCATGGCCACCCCGTTCATGACACAAAGGGACGCAGCATTCTGTAGGCATATTAATGGCCTTTATATTGAAAATATTAATGACCTATGAGCATATGACCTATGTCAGAGCATATAAATCACTGATTATATTATTATGATTGTGATTTATATGCTCTGCTATGTTGTACAAACACGTCTATTGTTTGAATGAGACCGAGTTGCGTATCAGCGCCGCCTATCGGGAAAATTGGCATTGCGGTCCCCCATTGAAATCCCCAATATCAGCAGTTTGTTTGGTCAGCAGTTAATAATTTCAGGAGCTTTCTGGTGAGCAGTTGGTAATCACTGTCTGTGGGGCTGTCTGGGGGTTTAACATGTTTTGCCAACAATACATAATTCATGCAGGAATTGGAAAACCTACCTTAAGTGCAGGAGATAAAGGTATATTAACGTGTATTAACTCAGCTACAAAGTTTTCGGCGTCAAACTCAACCGAACGTGAAGATGTGGTGAGCACATTGTCGTGAAGAGCATCATTATGGATTTTGGGATATCCCAGGGGCCATGAGGGGAATTCCTTAACTTAAAAATAACTTAGCTAATAAAAATTCGCTGTTTCCCTTTTATAGTATACATTTTAAATTAAATATATTTTAAATATGCATATATTTAGGATGAAAGATAGAAGTTGCGCGCCTGGCGAGAAATGGATGTTTTTTTATTTCCGCGGCTGTCGAGTTTCGAACTCACGACCCCTAACGTATGAGGCAAGCGTGCTACCACTGCGCCACAGCGAATATCGTTGATGGTAGTCGCTTCGATACACCGGTATGCTATTTTTAGCCAGTGTTAAATAAAACGGCTTCAAATTTAACTTTATCCTGTTTTCATCATTGCAAAAGTGCGGCAATATTACTCTATTGCATGAGTGGTAATGCATCGTTTACAGTCAAGCAATTTAAATCATGCGAGCAGATCAAAGAACATAGCTCCACATCGCAAGCTGTCAAACAACGACGTACTACAATGGAAGCAGCGAAAGAAATACACGGGAGCGGCGAGCGATTTTGCTCCCGGTCAGGCTTTCAAAGCGCTCTGGTAACAACAATTACGAGAGGCGAAAATTTTAGAAGATACGAGAAAAAATCGCTCGCCGTGCTGCCGGCAGCGTTAGAAATTAGTTCGACCGCCGGAGGCCCCGAGCCCACCAAGTTTTTGCTGCGGGCATAACAATAACTTTTTATATCGGCAGGGGTTAATTATTGTGGGGAGTGAGGGCACGACCAGTGACACCAGACACGCGCGTACCAAAAGCTGTTACCTGAATTCGTCAGCTGAATTGTAGAAAGTGAACTATTTTTATTCAGTTAGATATCTAGAAGCAACGTAAACCCTATATATACTTAAAAAAGACTGCTAGGCACTTGTAACTTGCGGATGTGCGGCAGGCATTGATCTATGCATGGGGTACCGTGGACTGCCAGGGAGGAGAAAAACGAAAGTAAAACCTTACGCAGAAGCTCCTGGCATTCCTCAGAGATTCCAGTACAAGTCTTTTTAACATACTCAAAGTAACTAAAAACTCTCTCTGAAGTTCTGAACTTGCTCAGTCGATGTAAAATAAAGTTGAAGAGATGAAAAGAAATAAAGTAAAAAAAAAGAAACTTGAAAATAACGCATGACACATCATTACCATGATTGTAATTCTTGATTTCTGTCTTTGTCATGTTACCTGACTATGTGTACTGTGTAGTGGCATGTCTGTCTGTGTGAATGAAATTGAATAAGAATGTGATTGCATGGTTTCTTAGTGGAGTGAGAATGAGATAAAAAAAATGTGACCGAATGTAATTTGTTTGACGATTCTCTAACACTGATAGTCTGATACTGGTGGCTGAGTGCTGAATGCTGATGGAATGATATTAATTAGAGTCAGTGCATCAAAATTATAGAAAATTTTACAAACAATCATGCTATGAAAAAGTAGCTCTGGCCAAGCCTAAAATAGCTCCTCGTAAAAAAAATTACGGAGACTCTTTTTTTTCATACAAAATCAAAAAAGAGCTCTCGTAAAAAAAGAGTAATTTTAGGCTGAATGGCTAGTGACGGTCGATCGATATACCGGCCTGATATCGGTAGACCAGTGTTAAATGAAATGCTGTCGAATTGAACTTTATTCATGTTTTGATCGTTGCAAAAGATGCGCCTATATTACTCTATGAGTAGGTAATGCATCGTTTACAGTCAAGCAATTTGAAATCATGCAAGCAGATTAAGAGAACATAGGTAACAAAAAACGGCCTGTTCCCTTTTATAGTATAGATTGTCTACTAGCTGAAACTTGCTGTATGCACTGTAGCTAATGCAGTGCATTGATTCAAAATTTGAATGGTAACTTACCTTGGTCAGATATAGTTGAACAAGACAGCCAATTTTAACCAGTATTAATGGCTATAGAGCATCACAAATCAGGAATAAACAGAGAATAGAACACATATGTTGTTATCTACTCCTGATAATGTGAATAATTCAACTATCCACGCTCTCTCCTCCCTCCTCCTCCTACTGCCACCATCACCTTCTCCGCTTCGATCTCCATCACCATCTCACCTCTTGCTCATCTATCACTGTCTCCCCTCCTCCTCCTCCTCCTGCCCCTACTCCTCCTCCATCACCTTCTCCCCTGCCTGCCTCCTCCTCCTCCACCCTACTCTGCAACACGCTTCTCCCTCTCCTCCTCCTGCCTCCTAGCTCCTCCTGCCCTCCGCCCCCTACTCCATCACTCTCTCCCCTCCTCCCTCCTCCTGCCCCTACTCCAACACCTTCACCCCTCCTCCTCCTCGCTCGCTACCTCATCTATCACCTCCTCCTCCTCCTTCTCCTCTTGCCTCCATCACGCTTCTTCATTCGATCTCCATCACCTTCTCCACTCCTCCTCCCCCCCCGTACTCCCATCACCATTCTCCCCTCCTCCTCCTCCTCCTCCATGACCTTCATCGATCTCCAACACCTTCTCCTCTCCTCCTCCTCCCCCCCATAGTCCAAACCTTCTGCCCTCGCTCCTTCCTCCTCCAACCACCTTCTCCCCTCCTCCTCCTCCTCCTCCTGCCCCTGTACTTCTCGCTCCATGACCTTCTTCATTCGATCTCCATCACCTTCTCCCCCCTCCTCATCCTCCTCCTCCTCCTCCTCCTACTCCAACCCTTCTCCCTCCTCCTCCTCCTCCTGCCCCAACTCTCCTCCTCCATGACCTTCTTTATTCGAGCTCCATCACCTTCTCCCTCCTCCTCCTCCTCCTGCCCCTACTCCTCCTCCACGACCTCTTCATTCGATTCGATTCACCTTCTCCCTCCTCCCCTCCTTCTAACCCTACTATGGGCACCCAGGTTAAGATATAATTTGCGCGAACAAATTCGCAGCCGGTCTAGATTACCCCAGTCTCAATGTTACCCGCCTATGGGCGCACACAGGTTAAGATATAATTTGTGCGAACAATTCCAGACCAGTCTGAGACCAGTCTGAGATTACCCCCCAGTCTGAATTCACGCCTCCTATGGGCACCCGATATAAGATCTAATTTGCGCGAACAATTCAGACCAGTCTGAGATTACCCGTCGACGCATTTACGCTCTCGCTATGGGCACCCAGGTTAAGATATAATTTGGCGCAACAATTCCAGCCCGGCTCCTGAAGATTACCCAGTCTGAATTTACCCTCCTATGGGCACCCGGGTTAAGATATAATTTGCGCGAAACAATTCAGACAGTCTGAGATTACCCGTCTGAATTTACCCTCCTGTAGGCACCCGGGTTAAGATATAATTTGCGCGATACAATTCCAGACCGGTCTGGATTACCGCCAGTCTGAATTTACCGCTCCTTTGGGCACCCGGGTTAAGATATAATTTGCGCAAACAATTCCAGACCGGTCTGAGATTACCCAGTCTGAATTTACCCGCCTATGGGCACCGCGGTTAAGATATAATTTGCGCGGCGAACAATTCAGCCCCGGTCTGAGATTACCGCCAGTCTGAATTTACCCTCCTATGGGCCAGCAGGTTAAGACATAATTTGGCGTGAACAGTTCGCAGCTCGGACTGGAGATTACCCCCAGTCTGAATTTACCCCTATGGCTGACAAGTTTAAGATATAATTTGTGCGAAGCAATTCCAGACCGGGTCTGAGATTACGCCCAGTCTAAATTTACCCTCCTATGGGCACACAGGTTACGATATAATTTGCGCGACCAATTCCAGCCGGTCTGAGAACCCAGTCTGATTTACCCCTCCTATGGGCACCCAGGTTAAAGATATAATTTGCGCAAACAATTCCAACCCGGTCTGAGATTACCGCAGTCTGAATTTACCCTCCTATGGGCACCCAGCTTAAGATATAATTTGCGCGAACAATTCCAGCCCAGTCTGAATTTACCCGCCTATGGGCACACAGGTTAAGATAAAATTTGCGCAAACAATTTCAGCCCGGCCTGAGATTACCCCAGTCTGAATTTACCCTCCTATGGGCACCCAGGTTAAGATATAATTTGCGCGAACAATTCCAGCCCGGTCCTGAGATTACCGCAAGTCTGAATTTACGCCTGCGCATGGGCACCCAGGTGTAAGATATAATTTGCGTGAAGCAATTCCAGCCCGGTCTGAGATTACCCCAGTCTGAATTTACCCGCCTATGGGCACACAGGTTAAGATATAATTTGTGCGAACAATTCCAGACCAGTCTGAGATTACCCCAGTCTGAATTTACCCTCCTATGGGCACCCAGGTTAAGATATAATTTGCGCGAACAATTCCAGCCCGGTCTGAGATTACCCCAGTCCTGAATGTTACGCCTCCTATGGGCACCCGGGTTAAGATATAACTTGCGCGAACAATTCCAGACCAGTCTGAGATTACCCGTCTGAATTTACCCTCCTATGGGCACCCAGGTTAAGATATAATTTGCGCGAACAATTCCAGCCCGGTCTGAGATTACCCCAGTCTGAATTTACCCCTATGGCACCCGGGTTAAGATATAATTTGTGCGGGCGAACAATTCCAGACCAGTCTGAGATTACCCGTCTAAATTTACCCTCGGGCACCCGGGTCAAGATATAATTTTGCGCGAGCAATTCGCGACCGGTCTGAGATTACCCCAAGTCTGAATTTACCCTCCTTTGTGGCACCCGGGTTAAGATATATATTGGCGCAAACAATTCCAGACGCGGTCTGAGATTACCCCAGTCTGAATTTACCCGCCTATGGGGCACCGGTTAAGATATAAGATTTGCGCGAACAATTCCAACCACCCAGTCTGAATTTACCCTCTACTGCCAGACTAATCTCAGACTGTGGCCACGGCCGTCTCATTATCCAGCGCTGCTACGAGGTGCTGGGGTAATTTCAGACTGGGTAATCTCAGACCGTGACACTGGTATGGCGCCGGTATGAGTAC